GCGACGTTGTTTGCCTTGGTTATCACGTATCCGGAGAGCGCTCAGGTATGCATTGTTTACACGGTGCATCAAGACGCACTCTCGGATAAGACTTCCATCTGCCTAAGCAGCCAAGTGCGAAACGACGTATGATACCTAACGCGACGAAGAAAATCTTACACGTGTACTCAAGTTTATTTAAAGCGTAATTTTTACTTGAACGCAATTCGTTTAAAATATGCCTGGAAAAATTTAATAAAACAAATTATCACGATTTCTTTCTTCAACATCAATAAATAGTCTGTTAAAAATATATATTTTACTCCGAATCTCTCTAATAGATTATTTATATATTTTATATATTGTTTTTAATCCATAAATAATCTATCGATAATTATAACAAAAAGTATTGATTTTACATTCAGTTCGTATTCCATGAATAATTGCTCTGCAATTGTCATATCAAATCGTTTAAGCGATTCGCATAGTTTTATTTTTATCTACGCTTGATTAATCCATCGATAGGGATATCTTATTTAGTAACGTCAATTGTGTGTAAGGGTCTCCCAACGGGATCCCTGGTGAGAGACGACATATGCTTGGTTTTCCTTTCGCTTTCACGTCTGTATTCACGGGCGTTCCACTGTTACGTCGCACCCTGCGAGAAGAATTCTTACCTGAGATCCCGAGTCTGATTAATCGTTGCCATTTCGATGCCACTGTCAACAAGGTAGCCGCTACACGTAGTACCGTCATCCTCTTACGAGAGAAATTGGGCACCCGCGATTAACATCTGTGAGAATAGCTCGGAAAATGCGATTGTCGCTGATTTAAATATCGGCGCTTAGATCTCGAAGAGATACATCTACACGATCTGGTCCCCCCAATGTGTTACTATACAAGAAATAATTGTCGTAAACTGCGATTGGATCTCCGAATAAGATGTCAAAAATAACGTTGTATTACAAGTGATTTAAAGAGATCTTTGAAAGATGCTAAGAAAGATTGAAGAACTTGAAAAGATCTTTAAAATTTATTTGCAGAGTATCTAATTAACTTTGGATCTTTTTGGCTGCTCCTGATTTAGAATCGAATTAATAATTTAACATCTACATCTGTAGAAAATATTCCCTATGACAGATTTTTATTCTTGACAAATTTGAATAACTAAAAGTGACTTCAGATAACTAAAATTGACGTCAACTCAATAAAATTGTTTTTAAATAACTATTTGAACTTTTTATATTTTGTTTGATATATGTCAGTAATTATTGGGAAATATATTACCTTCTCTCGCGCTCTATTGATCGTTTTATGCTCGGTCTTTAAAATCATCTCTCTACTTAAATTCGTCACGGCGCGACGGCAATAAAAGCCCGGAGTTCGTAAAGCGCGACACCGCGAAACTTCATGTCGAACACGCGTTTTGCTTGTTCATCTCGCAAGATCCTAGGGACGCGTTATGCAACGTTAGTAAAATGGTAACGCGTATTCGTGCATCACTCCCGTGGAATTCGTGTCATAGAGACGCGAGCCAACGGTTGATCATGGGGCGCGACCCGGTAAACGTGATCTCTGCTGCAACACAACAGAGTAATGCGTTAGAAATGCGTATATCCGGCGTTGCGACACCCGATGCCAGCGATTAGAAACGCTCAAGGCGATTCGAGCAACCCGTCAGCTGCAGTCACTGTGGAGCCATTTATATTCAAGTTAGATTGGGTCTAAAGCGAAAATAAAATAAATATAACTAATAAAATTAAAATCAAATTTCTTCTCCGAGATAATATAATGATTTTCTTGCGAGGAGAAATTTAATATCTCACGATTGAAAAAAATTTTTTTCGAATTTTGGACACGAGTGTGTCTCTAGTCGCGACCCATTTTTTTCCAACTGTCGCTGTCCAGTGATAGGAACTTTCGGCGGTATTTTTGGATCGTGTGATTCATAGCCGGGGAGATGCAGCCGGTATGCACCGCGGCGCGGATGATCCAGCTGGCTTAGCACGGTTTCGTTTTAAAACGGCACGTCCGCGGAAAGTCGGCCGCAGGGCAATCCCCCGCGCGGTCACGCGAAGTTTTGTTGAACCCCCTTAGGGTTAATAACAGCCGCCGGTACGCTTGTCTGGATCGATGCTTGATTAAGGACGCGAGATTGCCCGCGTGTAAAGCCCGCCCGTCCGCCGCATTCGCGTAAGTGGATAAATGCGCGCGGTAAGAACGCGCCCGCGACCGCTGTCCGACGTTTAAGTAGATCACCACGTCATAGTTTGCCGATTATTCGCACTGTATATCGTTGCGGCATCCTGAATCAGTCACTGTTAGCCGGATAACATAGATCTTCATTCCTGGAACACGCAAACTTGCTAATCTAAAAATGCAATTTTCGTTCGCTTCTGCTCTCGTCAGGACCGTTAATGCGGAAGATCATAATTTTCGTGAACTGTTGAAGTTGAAATCTGCATTAAATTCGCCGAAGGACAGGCTTTTACTATTTATTTATATCTCTCAAATTTAATTCATCAAGATTTTTAATTTTAATTTTATGCTGTCATCAGCTTTGGAGTTATCGAGATATTTTCATATTAAAACAGTCGTCATCTTTGTATTTTGGCAAAACAAACAGCTTTGCACGATCTTATGATTGAAGTCTTTTCAAATCCGGTTATAATATCTCGCACGCGGTTAGCAAGCTATCGTTTGCCGAAGAAGGCGGAAGCAATAAGGCAATTGCAGCCTTCCGCGATAGCGGCCTAATCGCGCCGTCGTGAAATCACGCCTCGCGATCGACAATATCGTATTAAAGGACGCGAGCACAATCTCGATAGCTATCGCCCGCGCCATTGATCTACTGTCGCGAGGAATTCACGTGAGAGGGATTCTTCGCTCGCGGCTCGCTTTTTAATCGCTCTCTCGCAGTCACGCCACTTTATTTTCACATAATGGGCGACTTGTCGGAGGAGTAACGTATCGATCGCTCGCGCGAGCTTCTCTCAAGCAACTCGGAGCTCTATCACGGTGATCATAGTAATTTTCCCGTGGTGTCGACTGGTTAGCGTTGTCGCGCCGCCGCTTTTCAAACGACTCCGCGCTGCTGGAATCCTCGGATCGCGGCGCATGCATCCTTCATCGTCTGGACAACGCAGCTGCACTCGAGTCATCGTCATTGCGCATCTGCGTGGGGCGTTATACGCGGCTATCGCTTCATCTGTAATCTAGGCGGACGAGCGACGAGATGAATTGCTCATCGATTTAAATTACATATAAAGCGGTGCTTTCGATCGGATAGAAGTTGTTACGATAATCCATATAGGTCGCTCCGAAATTGCTACTTTGAAACCTTTAGCGTGAAGCGTCCGATATTATAATCCCGCTAAAACGGGATCCATTTAAACGAAACGCAAATCTTTATTATCTATTCGACTTGATTCATCGGAAGCCAATTTTTGTTCATCGATGACTGACATTTGCCACCGCCATTAGCGACTACATGTTTCAACATAATAACTGCCGAACTGTTCAACTTTGGAACGTTTGAGGCACATGTTGCACGAAACATGGCCATCGAGCACGAATAAACGGGCGCGAGAAAGAGAACCGAATGCAACAAAGACGAAGAGGAGCACGAAGAGTCAGACGACGCGGCGAGGTTGCCAAGTTGTGTTTACATACCGTCTACGTGCGCCCCGAAGGGCTGTCGGTTTAAGAGGCGAGTTTAACCCGATGCGAATCCGGCCGGCGCGGACTGAGGATCGTATTCACGGCGTCGTTTGCAAAAGTTGCACGCCACGCGGTGCCGTGCGGTACCGATCGCCTCCGGACTGACCCTTCACAAAGACTTAACTTCGCAGAAGTTCGTTGCGCGCTAAAGAGACTCGCTTTGTGAGGAGTTGTGTGTGGCAGCGTAGCTGTCACGAAGCGGAGGGACCGTTTGAAATCTCCTTATTTAGCGTCTTTGAAAAACGAAAGGGAAAAAAGTCCTAATTTGCACACTACGGTGAATGCGTTTCGACTGAGAACGACGTTGGATAATGCCACTTTGCGCAGTTTTTTTTTTTTTTTTTTTTCGAGATTGCCATCCAATTTGAGAAGAGAAATACCGCGGAATAATGGCGTTAACGCGCGTATTATGCTGATTTATGCGAGGAATGATTTACGCTTCCTTTGTACTACGAATTCCACGAACCGTTTTCGAAGATTTTTATATAGTAGCCGTCTCGAGAGCTAAATAAGTGGTTCCATTCGAATCGCTCTGAGTAACTATCGCGCGCAGCGCGGGCGAAATGAGCGATGTTACGGAAAACGCCGCGTCGGCGGTGAGTTATATTAAAGACCATCGACCGTGCGAATAAAGCGCGTTAGTCTAAACCTTCTAAAAAGTGCTGCTTAATGACCGTGCGCGCGCGAGTTGTATGGTCAAGCGCGTGGAAACCACTGGGCAATTACAAGAAGGAGAGCGAACGAACAACGCCCACGGGGCACTCGTACTGAATATTTTCTCGACGTTCCACTCGACCGGCTTCTTTTTGCTCGCAATTTAGTGAGCGCGCTATACGGTGCACCTTGGCGAGCGCGTTTAGCAACGCCACGTGCCTGCCGATGCAGCAAATATACGTATCGACATCTCAATCCCATCGATTTCCCAGGGTTACCGCGTTCTCACGTCGAGGGAATTGCTTATACGGGCGATCAGCATTGGATAAATTTCTTTACACGAAGGCAGATTATCAATAAAATCGTGAAAATCAACGGACACCCGAGTTAAGTATCAAGAAAATGAAAATCAATTTTGGTTAAAAATAATATCAATACTTTGTTAGTAAAAAATGGCTTTTCATAAAAAAGATTTTACATATCACAAATGAGAAACTTTTGTATAGCTTCAAGATTGTCAATCATGCTATGACTATAATTATTACCGAGTATAAATGTCGTTCACGACTCTTATGTGATAAGGATATAACATTTAAAAACAAGATGTAAAAGTAGACAACATAGATAAAGCGGCCACACGAGTGATCTTATCACATTTGTCCTTCGTCACGGTTAATTTCTCATTTTAAGAGTTCATTTACGACGTGTCTTACAAAATGATATATATCGTTTTTAAGATGTTTCCCAAAATACTTTGGCTGTGTGGTCTGAATCGTCAAAACGGCTGTTACGGTAGGATGTGAGGGATGTTGTTCAGCGTCGAAGTAGCAGGATCCATCCTTCCATCGACAGGTACCATTAGTCACGATTCCTTACACGTTGCGCTCACGCGATGGAAGATGCACTTCCAGCCGCAGCATCGCGTCATCTCTTGCCATCTCTACCCGTTATCTTTAGGGTGCTATTAAGGAGGCAGGATATGAAGTTTCGTAAACCGCTGAGCGCACCCTTCGTGGTGGGATCGTCTGGCGTTTAACTGCAATGCGGACTATTGCGCTGTTGCATTATATTGCTTTGCTAATGTGTTGATTGCTTAGCAAGAATTCTCACAGTTCTCAGATTAAATTCATCAATCTGTGAAATAAATGAAACAATTTAGAAGATGCTCATATTTTAGAAAATATTTGCACACACAAAAACAAGTTGTGAAAAATTTATTTTATGAAAAATTACAATTTTTTTCTAATTAAGAAATAATAATTAGAGAAATAGGAGGATAAACTTTCTAAATTATTTTTTATTTGAAAAAAAATTGCGAACAAAGATTGTAGAGTAATTTTCAAGATTAATTTGTGTATGCTTAATATATTCTAGTTTTATATGACAGCTATCTTTGCAAGCTCGTTGCAGCGCATTTCGGGCGCGTCGCGGATCGTTTAAACAGGCTTAAGTGTGGAGCCGCATCGCCTCCGTGCGTTGACAGAGCAGCTTTTCGTTTACTCACATGGTCGAGAATTTATTATTACTGCCAGGCGAAGCGGGCTTGAGAGAGGGGGAGGACTAATTATCTTTTGGAGGCGCGCAGGATGCTCGCTCGCCCGATCCTGCAATCTGTTCGCCGCGGCGGCACCCCACGTGGAATTCGTCGGTAAGACTTTGAAGTGCGGTGCATTCCGTAAAAAATGCGTCAGCGCTCTCGCACGAGATAATCAGATAATGGAATCTTCCCGCCAATTTTTCTGTGTAACGAAACGAGATATCCAAGTAACGCGTCTTGTTGCACTTTATCATGCCTCTTGTTTCGCTTCGTTTCTTTCTCGATAATCCAAGCTGCGCGTTCGACGAAGAAAGAAAGAAAATCATCGCAGAAATATTTTATCCGATATTAAATTCATAAATACTAATTGATATATCTCAATTATAAATATTAATTTATCAATCCTAATTAATACTATCCATATTATTTGAGTGTGAGATATATGATATATATATTTATGATTAAGATGTAATCAAGTACTCATAAATTTAATATCAGTTAAAATATTTCCCCGATGATTTTATTTCTCTCTCGGTCGAATGCGCAGCTCTCATATTGAAGTGATTAGAAATTTAGAACAGTGCTAAGTGGAAAGTGATTTTGAAATCGTTATCGAAATCGTCGCGCCTTTTAACGCCAACAGAATTATGTACTCCCGAAGAGACATTACGCGGATGGATTGCCTGGGCGCGCCGGGGACGTAAACGCGACCCAGATTACGAGAGACAATAACGTTTGCGAAATGAACGATGCTGGACACGATCTGTCTCGTGACTCGGCGCGGTTGGCCGTGTTTCGACGGGGATGAAAAATGTTTGATCGCGCGTAATGCACACACACAGGCCGTATACGAATTCAAACGAGGTCGCCACGGCAGTAAAAGCTCATTGTCATTTGGAATGGATCGCGGGCACGCTCGGACTGCGTTCTTGGACTTAATTACCCGCATGTTACGGGCTGTTTATTATGCCCTGCTTTATCGCCGTCGAGTTGCCGCTCGCGCTCCTAGGACGACCGGAGGAATTCATTAAGGGAAACCGTCGGGCTTTCATATTACTCGATCTCGCGCGCGCGAGAATCCTCTCTCCAATTATTTCTTCGGCCGCTGCCGCCGTCGCCGCTGCAACGCGGCTGCAATTTTCGTTTCTCGGCCACATTGCTTGGGAAACTCCAAGGAACACGTTTGATACAATAAATGTTTGCGCAAAGACGGGAATCCTACCCTCTCATCCTTCTGTATTGTACATCCTGTATTTCATCAAGCTACATGCGTTCGAAATCGTGCATTATTCCTACCGTCAACATGGACATATAGGCATTCCTTCGTCGGCTTCTGGGTCGCTCCTGCTCTCGAAATGTCCGGCATCTTTGCCGGTCGGCTACGTATATCAAGGTACTCGCGAATTATTCTGTCATTCGACTCGAAAGGCATTTCATCAGCGTCTCTGGAACAAATGAAAATTCTGTGTCAGTACAAATTTAACCTATTTTTAAATACAGAACAGAGCTAGTGTGTCTGTGTGGAAGGAAGCATTAATGCTCAGAGAAAATTTATTTTATAAAATAATTTTATTTTCTTTATAAATAAAAAATAGAGATTGCGAAATAAAATCCAGGATTTGCGAAATTGAGTTTTAATTAAATGTTTTAAAACAAAATCTCATAAAGGAAGGGGTTTATGCAATTACAACTTTATTTTCTTCTACAAAATAATTATAAAATTATACACAATATTAATATTATTTAATTATTTAATTATTAATATTATGACGGAATCAACTTTATCGAGTTTTTTCGGTCAAATCGGATGTTCGTTCAGCTCGAGTGACATATTATCGTACGTGAAGTATTAAAAGTAGTGAAAGTGTCGTGACCAATGAACAGCGGGATTAATTAAGACTCGAGAATTAATAGACTGTCCTCGCCGCGAGGAAATTAGGCGTAGACACGACTGACCTGCTGTGAGACACCTGTCCGAGGAATGTTTCTCCGGGTCCGGGTTTTGGAACACCTGTTCACATTGTGTCATTGTGTGGATAGCGGGTAGTATTATCTCTCAGCCTCTCCACGGATTTATACCCCCGACGCTTGCGGCGCCGCTTCATAATTCACCGTGTTCCACCTTCAACTTTTGCGGCTTCTGCATCCGTGAATCAAATTTCATGCTCGCCGCACGAAAACGATAAGCGTCCAGTTTTATCGCCAGCGCGGTTACCATTCGCGGTTTTTTTCCCCTGCGATCTCGAATTTCAGCGTTTACTCAAAGCAATTTGCACTTCTCAATTTTTATTCAAATATTTATATATGTATATAGAATTTTGTTTTAAAGGAAGAATTATTATGTTCAATTCGTTCATCTTTCTATTTATAAAATGTTTTAATTTTTTACTTACCGAAACTTTTGCTATTTTTTTCGTTTAATAGAAATTTGAAGTCGACTTAAAATAATATTCTCGAAACTTGTGGAGTGAACTGTTGTTAACTTAAATATTTTTTATCCACAAAGAATTACGACACCTCTTCTTTGCCATACATGATTGCTACTATCTTCGCTTCGGTTCCAAATTACTTTCAAATCAGGTATGCAAAATACTTAGCGGCTCGAGCATGATCATTCTTTATGTTCCTACACGTCAATTCCGAAACACTCAAAGGTACCGTATTCAAATTGGTGCGTTATATTTCAACGCGTTGGCGCTTATTATGTAAGGAAAGGCGTCAGGCCGAGTCGACGCTGATAATTATTCAAATTCAACATCAGCATTCGTTATCTCGCATCCGTTATATTTTGCGGCGTGCAGGATGCCAGGTAACATATATTAAATAATTATTATGACGCACGCGCGTAAGTAACGGGCTAACGAATTGTCCTGTGAATAATACCGTCGGCCGCATCCGACGATTCATTAAAATTCGTCGCGATTTGCGGGACGGCTATAAAGCGTCAACGAACGAAAGATAATACGTGCGTTAATGCCTAATGCAAGTACGTATATTACGCGCAGTTTAGCGATCGACGATAACGGTGTAGCGTCCTATCATTCGTATCTCGTAGCCACTCGTATTAATTAAACACGTGACTCTCTGCAACTCTTGCGAGTTTTTTTTTTTCGTCGAAAAAGAAATGCAATATGCAAGAATAAATAAATGAAAAACATTTATCTTTCCATATCCTTCTCAAGTTCGACAATTTTTATAAAAATATGAATAAAAAGAGGTTAAAAAAAGATATGACAGCAGACACTAAATATTATATATATACCTACTATAGATTTTTTAAATTCATAATTTAATTAATTTTTTATTTAATTTTAATCAATAATCTTTCTATGTGGATTGAGACCACCATTATTCATCCAAGAGCGTCTTGAAAAAGTTGAAAAGTTGGGATTCTAGGCAATCAATTCGCATATATCGATCCGATGTCATAAATCTTCCGTGCGCACCCCGCTATTCCTTTACCATCTATCAACCAGTTTCTTTCCGCGTAAACAGTCGACAAACGACAGTTTGGCGACAGTAGCGGCATTATGTCTAGGATATGCGGTACAAGAAGAGAGCACGAACCCGCGCCGAGATCATGGGAAGACACCCAGGGCGTTGAACCGCCCGCGCCGCTGCCGCCGCGACATTCCGCCGTGTTTCCACTCCTCTTCCCTCGTCGCTCCGCGGCCTCCTTCTCCGGTTGCACGCTCGTAAGCGCATAGATGAATTTTTTAGGCGTAGACGATGGATCGCCCGACTCGAATACCGAGCAGCCCGCGCGTGTACGTACGCACGTGTTGCTTTGCCGCGTGATACTCGGAACCGGCGACGTCAGCGGCCGGCCGAATAGAAGATGTACATCACTTTGGCACGCTCGCCGCCGTGCCGGTCTAAACTCGACGATGAGAGTATGTTCGGTTTCTTCATTCGCCTCGGTTGCTTCAAGCACCACCGCGTCTCGATATTACGTACATTTTCGTTAGCCATATTTCTCGCGTATAATAGATCCCAGAATAGACGAACCACTTTTATAGGCGTAACATGTGGGCGTAGCGCGATTTGCAGAGTCATTTAGTTATATAATCCGAAAGCGATAATAATAATTATTAAAAAAGTGATATAATGTTGCTAAATTAATCAATTATCTATCGTCCATCACGTACTCTTGTACGAATAAAATATTAAAATTATGCGTTAGGCATCCAACATCTTAAGTATATCTTTCACTTGTACGAGATCTATCTGCGACTTCATGATATTTAATTCTACAAGAAATAATCCAATAACTAGTTTCAGAATTGAAAGCGATATCGATTTCGGGATTTATCTTGCAGAAATGTTCAAGTATTTCTTTCTGCCGCGTTATTTGATGGTGTAAACTCGATGCGCGCGTGAGAAATGCGAATTAGCAGAGCAGGGGTGTTCGAGCATTTCGGTCATGCTTCGGCGTGATGCATGCTGCACGATGATGGCCGGAAAATAGTGATGTCCGTGCGTGAAGAGGGTCGGCCGCGTCGGCGGTAGTTGGACATTTTAGCGGTTTCTGGGTCAGGGAAAATGATGTCAACGATGAATTAAAGCCGCTTTCGTCGTCAGCTCCGTCGGGATAAGCTGCAATAAACACGCAGATGTCGACGACATTAGTTGTATTTAAAGTATAATTAGCACATTGGCATACCTAGTTCAATTTCAATGAAGACTTCACGGAATAGCAATTTTAAATCTCAGATCAGGTAGATAAAAATCCTCGTTTATCAACATTTCTTAATTAATTGAAATGTATGATAAAATAGTAATTTAATATAACATTGAGAAAATTAAATTTGAACTGACGTATTATGTTTTTTAATAACAATGAGGATTTTTTTCTGCGCATTATTCGATTTCTAAAAATTAGCGAAGTCTGCGAAATCAACGCGTAAAAAAATCCGCGAGTTTGACTTTCACGAGGCGAACAATCGCGGGTGGAGTGCGTTAAACCGGATCTTATGTCATCTGTGCGCGAATCGATGCTCGGCAACAACGCGTGCTGGCCTGCTGCCATTGAATCCTCGCAGCCGGGAGACGCAAGCCGCACGACGATCAATCGTCGATGAGAGGCGGTGATGATAAAGCTTATCACGGAGAGACTGGCGGCGATAACGGCACGGCTTCGATGGAAATTAGGGCTCGCGTGCTGCTGGCCTCTCGACTTAATGCCTCACGTATTAATAGAGCGGAGCCGTTCTCTCGAAAGTACACAGCAGTCACGAATTAGGCCACAGCTGGATAAGGGCGATCTTTATGAACGAACAGTGCCTCTCGTTGTCGTGTTCTCGGCACCTGCCCGCGCGGCAAAGAACCCAATCAACGGGGGAGGGAGCGTTCCTTCCGAGCCATTTTTCTGCTCGTTAAACTGTATACGTGGGCGTGTGTGCGTGCGTATTAAGGTGCCGCCGAGGGGTCTGCTTTAACTGTTGTTGTTGCGAGCGAGCCATTTCGCTCGTGTTTCCGTAAAGTCGCAGCCCACCGGTTGCGCCGGCTCCCTGCGAAACGAGCGATGCGTTAAACTCAATGAGCTTTTGCGCCCTCTCCTCCACCCTCTCCTCGCCGTGCAACTGCAAAGTCGATGAACATGAGCCGGGTTCCTGGAAAGGGGCGGATTATTTTCGTTTGCAGCCAGACGTTGCAAGGCCGCGTAATTCACGCGCGCTTATTGCCGCGTGAATTTACGACGGCCGGTTGGTCGCCATGTGCCGGGGAATCAGCGGATTCCGATAGCGCAAATTGTGCGAAATAAAACAGCGATCGATAACGGTTATTTCGGACATTACTCCTAAAACATTTTTCCACTTTATTCTATTATTACTTTCGTACCAACGTAACCGACGTAGAATTCTTCGCCGTAAATATTTGCCTTCTACAAAGAGGAAAAAACAAACGACCACGGTTTACTTTCGACATTTTTTTCGAATGATCGCGCTGGAGTGAAGGGTCGCTCGATGCATGTGCGATGCAAACGCTGGTATTTGGAGCGTGAAGCTGCACCAACTCGTCATCGGCTGAAGTAATAAGCCCCGATGATAAGGTTCCATCGCTGTGCGAAAAAAAAGAAGGATCGAGCATATGGCGAGTCGCAGACTCGCAGACTCGCTCGGGTTCCGTTTAATCGCGCGTCCAATAAAAATGAGTAATGTTCCAAGAAAATATCGGAGCCGTTTCTTCCTCGCGAGCGAACCCTTTGATTGCGCGCCTCTCCTTCTTCCTCTCAGGATCCCGAGGATGCAATTCGCGATAATACGTGGAACTATTAATGCTACTGAATTCCGGCATTGGCGAGGCAAGCGCGATCCCATTTACATTATCGCCGGAGGTCTAAGTGCACGCATAATTTACGTAGCGGCGAGCCGCAGCTTTAAGTCCGCATAAAACTTGAAGTTGCATCGTCGATCCCGGAGATGCCCGCAATTATGTAGATATCGCGCAGCTCGACAAAGCTAATTAACGATCCCGTCGGGTCGCTCGCGTTACGTCACTCGCGTTAATCGCGAACTTACGCGAGTTGCGACCCGCGATCTTCAACCTTCATTTGTTGTTTTTCGGAGTGACACATATATTGTTTAAAATTGCGAGTATATTTGTTACATCGCAAAGCAGCGGGACGGAAATTGAATTCATAATTTCCTCAGCGCGAAGTTAATTTTTATCGAGAATGTTTTATCAGTATAAAGTATTTTTATGTAATCTTCTTAAACGCAGGTATATTTGTACTTCCTCTGAAACACATGTAAAAGTTAAATGAGACAGACAGCAGTCCTTTTAATTTTAAAACACTGAATTATGAATAACTGAAGCTTCCGCCGAATTTTAAAGATCTAAATCGGGATTATTAACACTTGATTTTTTTAAATGCACTTAGCGTCAAGTTTTCAATCCTAATTATTCGAATAACGTGGAAATAAGGTGTCAAATTTTTGTCGAAGAAAAATCATCCCCTTGCAAATGAAAGGAGGTAAACATCTTTATGCGCTATTGTTTTAAAAAAATGGCAAACGATTCTCTCGTGCAGCTGCCAAAATTTTGCATCGATGGAGCCCTTTCGAGCGGAACAGCATGGCGCGTCTGGCACGCGAGGGTCGTCTCCCCAGTTTCCTTTGTTATGAATTCTATCGTTTCTAATAATAGGCCGTACTTTTACGAGTCGCGCGATTCTCGCGCGTAGAGCGGGTGTTAAAAACGCCGGCAGT